TTTTTGATGATTTTTCAAAGAAAAATAAACATTTTTAGCGATTTTTTTTGTCATAGAATACTACTAGAAGAAAACAAATATGGTATTCGGAATCAGCGTGAAAAACTGCATACAACCATATATGTTTCGGCGAAAATTTTTTCCTGACCAAAATTGACCTGAGGCGGACCAGGGAGAAAATTTTCTTTTAAATATAGCTGTGGGGGAGGGACCACAGGTCAATTTTGGTCAGGAAAAAATTTTCGGCGAAACATATATGGTTGTATGCAATTTTTCACGCTGATTCCGAATACCATATTTGTTTTCTTCTAGTAGTATTCTATGACAAAAAAAATCGCTAAAAATGTTTATTTTTCTTTGAAAAATCATCAAAAACCATGTCAAATTAGACAGTATAAACCGTTTTTCGCATGAAGCGGAAACTTTTTTTCAAATATTTTTTTACCATTTTGTAGAGAATAATAAGCTGCACAACATATATATAATTCAGTCTGGGGGTCTCTGAATTCTGAAGCACAACACGAATTATACTGTTTATTTGGACTGTTCAGAAATACCACCCCTTGACTCATATTTACTCTATAAAACTTGAATTGTTAGCCATTATATTATATCAATGTAGCTCATTTTATTCAGTTTTCAATTCTCTATCTTGTCATATATACCACGAAAAATTTCAATGATTTGCTGAAACGGAAGCCAATACATCTTTTATAGAATATTTTTCTTATTTTTTTACAAAAAGCCTCGATAATGCCAAAAGTTGGTATTGACTAACTTTTCATAGGAATAGTATTAGAACATCAAATTTTAGGGTTAGTAGTTTTAGATATTGAAGTTTCGAATGAGCAAAAAAAAATCGAAAAAAAAAATTTTATCGAGTGCCTCGTATCCTCGATGCTGTCGTGGACCCTCTCTTAAATATCACTCGACAATCTATCGTTAGTAACTATGCTTGTTAATGGCAAATATTTGAGAAAAAAGTGTACAACTAAGATAATTTTTATAGCATCTTCTTTCTAGTTTACTCGCAATACTATATCTCTAATCTTGACTCTTCGTTCGATCGTGTTCATTCGTTGGTATCTATTCTTTTTCTTAGTTCCCTATGATAAAATAATAAACGATTAAAAAGTGTGAACAGTAATTTAACAAAACAGATAGATAAACTAAATGGATGATGAGTAAGAGAGTCACAATCTATTATCAGTCATAATTATATCTCATGAAAATGATAAAAAATTCATTGTTCATCTTACAACGATATCGATACTACACCACTATATGTGTTGATATATCTACTTTATATTTAGTCTGTTTTGATAAGTCAATCACATCATTACAAACATAAGTAATACATTCTCTTTTAGTCAATAATGAGTTTGTGACCAATTTTTTCTTCGACTAATTATCGCTCTAGTAGTATACCCTCCTCGATGTCTGACAATGATGTCTAGTAAATTAGCTACGATCTTTAATTGTGACTGTTTCCTTTCAATTCGACAATTATTAAGTGATCAGGAACAATATTGACAATCATAAAAAAAAAACAGAAGAAGGAATAGATATCCAGAAGATTAATAGCGGATCAAATATTAAGAGTTTAAACAGAAAAAGAAGTAAATTGTGATTATCATTTATTATTACAATGACATGATTGATGTCTCTTTGTGCAATTGTTATTTTTATTGATAAAAGCTCTTTGTATCACTCATGCAATATAAAAATACATAGTTTTGAAAAATTTCAATCATATAGACTTAATCAAATCATTTTCAGTATTCTCCAATGAGTTACGCTAATTGAAAATTTATTTCGTTTTATTTTAGATACAATTTTCATTATAGAAATCATTTGTTACTGATTCTTATTAAAAAAAATATAGTATCTATCTTCTTCACTCAAGAAATTATTCTCCTACTATTTGATATGATAATTTTGATCAATTAATATATGATAATCTTTGAAATTTTTGCTCGATTTTCTAAGAACAATTCTATATTTTTTCGAAATTGATCTGTGTAAATTGATATCAACAAATGACTAATTGAAGCGAATTTGAAATAATTGTTTTCATGAACATTTTCTAGTCAAATGACAAATAGTGCCTTGGAAAATCAAAGCTTTGAAGAATAACAAGTAGGTTGTCTTTGTAGTATCTATTTTTTTTCCACGTTTTATTTTTTAACGCATTTTTTTTTCTGTGTTAATATTGTTTCTTTTCAGATTCCCTATGATTTTTTTTACTGCTTGTTATTTATTGTGACTTTTTGTATGATCAAATAAAAGTACTAAGTCTTTATGGAGCTTATTTAATAACAAAATCTTTAAATATAGCTGAAATTCGAAATTGATTCTGTTATATTGATGTGTCTAAATAGGAGAGTATCACGAGATGTGATCGCAAATGCGACAATATCATAGCACTATATTAATCGTTACCGACGACATAGAATGTTTTAGACTATTTTTATTAACCCTTGACATTAACTTCTTCACACTCCAACATGTAATTCCTCAATTTACTAATAAATTATGAAGGTAACCAAATGGTAGAGCCCAGGGCTTCAAATCACAACAGGAATGCAGGTTATTTAGGCTTCAAAACTCGAAAACTTTGACGGTATCAAAGAAATTTATGTTGATTGTCACAAAACTATTATAGCATAAAAATTCCACTGTCTTCAACAGTACAGGTTCAAAGGACTTGTAGAATTAAGCGCATTATTATGCCGCAAATTCTGACTTTAAAACACCGAAAAGCTTCTCTACGAAAACAAGTACAAAGGCTTAAACTATGTCGATTATAGTTGTAAGACGATTAATACTTCGCAAGATGACTTACCGAGGTTCGTTCGTCATTACCTGTTAAAATTGTTCGAATAGACAACGTAAAGCCTTGTCTAGTCTAGATTTAATTATGAATCTGTTGACAGATTATATGGAATGGCGAATATATTTCTACATATTACTCGAGTATTTCTCTTCAGAATAGGCGATTTCGAATAATTTCGCATTATCGCAGGCAGCTTCCTGAAGTGGACTCTCGATATTCAAAGTATTTAAAACTTTTGCGGTTTTGGTGCGTAACCAATGAAAAATTGCTTTATTTTTCTTGATGAAAACAATTGTATCATTACACTATTTATTGAAAGAATTTACACGAAACAAATGAAATCTTCAGTATGAGTTCCTTGTTGTTTCCATCGAGATTCAGATGGAGTTTTGAGCATAGAACCTGAATGAAGAATTTCTTTCCTGTAAAAATGCTTTGTTCAATCATGTTTGTTCTTTGTTTTTGCATAACATAACGATGTTCTTTGTCAAAAAGGAACAAGAATCAAATATTCCAAATTGAATTGGCCTTTAACATAGTAGAATTCTGAACAGATAGTAATCTACTCGAAAGAATCAATTATCGATGTTGTCAAGTTTATTCAAGGTACATAAGAAAAGAAGACCAGCACGTTTTAACATTCGAAAAAAGTCACATAATCAATTCTAACCATGAACTTTATCTTGACAATGTAAAATGACTGGTCTTGACAAAACTATGAGTGTATATCTACCTGAAATCGTTGAACTCGATGATTGTACAAATCGATGACATAGAGATTTCCGCATCGATCGAAGGATAAGCCAAAAGGCCAATTGAATTGAGTCGATTTTTCACCTCGACCGTTCCCACCGACAATAACATGACCTTGTGTAGCTCCATTAGACCACCGCACAATTCGATGGTTTCCTCCATCAGCTACATAGACAGCACCCGTTTGATCGACAACGATTCCCTGAGGAAAAAGCAATTGTATCAGATCATTTCCTTTTCCTTGACCACCGGCTACGATAATTCCTTGTGTGGAACCTTCGATCCATTTCATCACACGATGATTGGCACTATCTGATACATAAACAGAATGATTTTGATCGACAAATATGTATCGAGGTTCATTGAATTGATCTAGACGATTACCACATCCATTGCCACCTGCAACTCGAATTCCTTGAGATTCTCCTATTCGATATCGTCGAATTTCATGTTTATGGTCGTCGCTAAGATAGATATATCCGTTATTATCCATTGTCAAACATACACAGTCAATATTTGATATAATTGTTTCTCCTCGTCTACCATTTCGACGAGGCCAACGAACTACTCGTTGATTGTCCCGATCACAAATAATGAGACTATCACTATCGTTGTCAACAATGACGTCTGTTGGACAATTCAATTGATGAGCACCATCGCCTTGTCCATTTCCACCGGCAATAACATGGCCACCATTAGTCGCTCCGCATTCCCATTCGATAATACGATGATTCAATTGATCAGCAATTAAAATACTTTGATCATCATCAACATATAAACCCCAAGAATTCAACAATTGATTGGTATCAGTGCCAGATCCATTGCCACCCGCTACAGTAACACCATTTTGTATCCATTTGGCATTCGGATGAATGTCATTCGGACATAATGAAGCTGAAACGAAAGAAATTTTTGAGAATTGAAAGTCTCTTTTTTAGGAAAAAAATTGTCGATAGAAAATTCTTTAGTTTTAGAACGCGATTGTTATAGAAACATTCGATAAAATCCTACTGTCTATTTCAAAATAGAACGAATGTTGCTAGAGATTTCGTGACTTTTATCATTCGAAAGAGAATATTTTGATATATTAATCCACATGGACACGAATTGATCGAGCAGTGGTTACAATTGGTCCGTTTATAGTCGACATTTGTCTATTACACTTCGATTCCAAAACCGATTAGTAAATTAAGCTCTATTGATCTGCATAAGACCAATAATTGTATCTTGTTGTGTTTCAAAGTTATCTTTATTTTTCTGAGAACCACGAAATCGGTCAACTGGCTACTGGTCATTCTCAAATAGATCAAGCTAAGAAGAATTTGACCATGTTGAGTTTTAGTGGTAATATTTTTTTTTCGCCTTTAAAGAAAACTGAGATCAAAATCTTGAAATTCTGTTGTTCTACTGTGAAATTTCATTAAAACTGATATTTTTACAATTTCAATTTAGCGAGTTTGACTTTCTTCAAAAGTCACTAAAACTCAGCACGATCAAATTCTTCTGGCTTGATCTATTCGAGAGTGACCAGCTGATCGATTTTGAGGCTCTCAGAAAAATGTCAATAACTTCGGAATGTACCAAGATAAAATTCTTGGTCTTGTGCAACTCGATAGGGCTTAATTTTCTAAGCATCTTTGAAAGCAAAATCTAATGGGAAAATGTCCGCTATGAACTAATCAATTGTGACCACTGGTTGATTTATTGATTTCTATGTGGATGAATATATAGGTATTAAAGTATTCTCTTTCGAAAGATGACAACCGAACATCACTGACAACGTTGATGCTATTTTGAAGTGGATAATAATGTGTCATTCGTGTCCTTTCATCTAAACATAAAAGATTACATGTACATACCCTTTCGATGTTGAATATTCAAATAAATTTGACCGTGACGAAGCGAATTAATACAAAAAGGAACTTGAACTTCATTAGTTTCTGTTGCAATATCATTGCATACACGAGTCATGATTTCTTCAATTGTCCGATTGGATTCGGCAATGTGTTTTAGAATATGTTCTGTGAATATTCCGTTTCTATCATTATTCGACATATCTTCGGTCGTTTTGCCAATGCCACATGCGAAAACAACAAAAGAACCCATTGGTGCTGAAATATTACAAAGACCAACAGATTTCAAAGCACTTTGTGATGTATCTCTATTATATGAACCATCGAGTAAGAATACGACTGTCGATGGATCTCGAGCGATGATTTGTTGAAGTAGTTTTCCAGCATTAGTAGCATGATATTGAAGCATATCATTGCTTGTCAGTTCGTCATCGTTCGTTGGCAATAAATAGTTTTGATTTTTCCATTGAACCCCATGACCAGCATAAAAGAAGATAACAATATCTTTCTCACAAATGATGTTCAAAAATTCATCTACTATCGTTTCCATTTGATCGTACACCAAATTTGTACCGATAGTTACGTCGAATTGCATCATACGTAATTTTTCACCAAGATCTTGAGCATCATTAATCGAATAAGAAAGTGAAGATAGATTCGTATATGAACCATTACCAATAATAAGAGCTCGTCGTTTCGTATCTGTCGAAGGTAACACCGGTGTTGACATCGGAGCCGTGATATCTTAAAAAATACCTTTAAAAAACAATTTTGATTCGTATTCGCTGAATTCATAACGATTGGAAAAATGTCTATTGTCAGTTGTTTAGACTGAAAATAGCCGCAGGACTTTAACGGCTTAATACGGAAGATCGATTACTCAGCTAAAGAAAACAGGTATTATCATCACTTTTTCTGCTAAAGTATGAAGGTTTGCGACCGAGAAAAAAAACATGCAAAACTGCACCTCCAAGATAAGACTTTCCACTGGGGACGTTCTTAGGCTAGAAAAATAGAAAATAGCACATCCTTATTATGCCACTATGAATATTTCAAATTCAAATTCGTTTCGAAATAACTGTCATTTGACTAAGGATTAATTTTACGCTTGATTGAAAATCCTTCCGCGAAACTGTGGCTGTGGTTAACACTTGGAGTGAAGAGAAAATTTACACACCCACCCACATCCATGTTACTTCAAAAGAATAGGTGACTGAGAAAGTACTGATGGACGTCTATCTCAGCAAATACGTTGTCACGGCAAGCAGACGAGAACAGAAAGGCTACCAAAAAGCGTGTGGAAATAATACTGCCTTATGCTGCTCGGTGAGTCAATTACTTCGACGAACACTTTTTCGGTGTTTTTTGCTTTTGTTTTTCTTCGCTCTTCATTTATGTCGACAGAAAAAATTATGAATGCTATGATTTTGCTTGAAAGAGAAGAACAGAAACTTTACCGAAAGAACGCATCGCACATCAATATCCAAGGTTTTGTTTGATTGGATAGCTTCTAACAAAAGAATGAATAAAAAGAGGTGTGCAGCTCTCTTCAAAACGGGCTTTATTCGATGAAAATCATTAATGTAGTTTGAATTCATGCTTGAATTCGAAGAACGAAAAGAAATAAAAGCTGATGACAGAATGATTAACATTATATGAATGGTGGTAGGTGATGATGTTAGGCATACTTGGAACGGGTCGCGTTTTCTTTAACCGAATCGAATCAACAACAGGCGAAACAGTACCGGTTTTAAGTATGATTACCTATCAACCACATTAACTTGAAAATAACCGAAAGTAGATTTCGAAGGATGCTCTTTTAGATGCACTTCATATCGATCCTGAAACTCGAAATTTAATGTTTCGAATTTCTGAAAATTCAGAGTTTTAAAGTCGAAGGTGTAGGTGTCGATACTAGCATTACTTTTGCCTACACTTTACACTCGCATCCCGTTCAAAACCTATTCTGGGTGTGAGTGTGGGTGTAGGCAAAGGTAATACTAGCATTGACACCCACACCCACATCCCAACAATGAAGATAATTATAGAGACAACTCATCAAAAAATTCATTTGATCGTTTTCTTCTTGATATATTTGACACGAAAAATTGATTAATTCTCGTTAATGAAAAGGTCATTTTGTTTAATACTTGATATAAAATTTTCTGCATTATTTGTAAGTACTTGACATATATAGTCTTGCATAATTTTAAGATTTTTTAAAATAATTTCACATAAATCGTTCTTGGTTATCAGTAGAGTTGACATGATGTTGAATATAATGAGATAGAATTAGTTAATATAGTTCATTCATAGTTTTAAATAAGATTCTATAAAAAATGCGTACTTCTAGCATAGTCATTACTTGAAATGTTTCCAATGGTTTGTGGTGAAGATTAAATCGACGTTAAATGAATTGCTGCTAAAAGATATTCAAATAGAAATGAAAACAAGTATGTAAATAAAAAAATAAATATTAATGAAGATGATTACTTGTTCATTCATTAATGGATATGAAGATAATTGTTGAAAGAGATTTTTTCATGTGTAGTATTTTAAAATTTATCCATTTCATAATCGATTTTTCTTGTTAAATGATCAAGATATAAATGAACAAATTCTTTTGATTGACTTTCAATCAATACCAATTGTATTGTGTTTGATCAAGATCTTAATTGAGCAATTAATTTCATTGTACATTTATCGAGAATTGAATAAGATATTCCTTCCGACAATATTTTACTTGATCATAAACTTTTGTTTGTGTCATATCTTTTCAACGCAGTATTGTAAAAAAAATAAATAAAGTGTGATAGCTGAGGTACAACCATTGGACAATTTCCCACAAACTCCACAAAAATTGGTAATGAACTTATTGAAATGATGCAGATTGTCCAATGCTGGAAGATTTTCATACAAGTACATCTACAAAGACTAAAGTGGTACCACTTTAGTACATTATATCATGTTGCGATCTAATCAAGTGATTCAGAGAGATCAACTGTCTATATTTTCCATTAAGCCAACTATCATAATATTGAAAATTTAATGTTTGTTTTTTTTGTCAAAATATTCGTTATTCCGCTTGAATTCGCTAACGATTCTATTCGTACTTATTTATGCTTTTTGATGTAGTATATTCAAATATTTGAAAATTAAAGAGTACATTTGTGAAACAGTACCAAAAAAGCGAACCAACTTGCACCTTATTTGAGCATATCGAACTTATTTTTAATAAATATAGGTTTTTGTGATGGCAATAAGTTTTTAAAAAAACCATAACCCAAGTGATTTTTAATTGATCATTGCTGAGAAATGACCTATCAACTGAAAATTCCGGGCTACACCATTAAAAAAAAAAAAAGAAGTTATTATCAATTTTCAACTTACTGGTCATATTTTATAATGCGATCCATCGGCCAAATAAGATTCATGTAAATATTGATGCATAGTAATACCGACTTATCGATAGAGTAATTGAAGTCTGAATAGAATAAAATGTTTTGCTTTTTTCCTTTTTTATGAGATTATTTAAATGAAGACATAAAGGATATAAAAGTAATCTTTTTTGGCATTATTAAATATTTCAATGATGTATATTGAAGAATTAAAAACTAGATAATATTTCTTCCATTTTTTTGTTGAAACTTACAACAGATCATTATTGATGGACACTGGAGTTTTTTTTCTTTCTTTTTCTTATTATGCAAGTGATTATAACACTCGAAAATGCTTACATGATACAAAAAAAGAATTGACTATTCTTAAGCCAGAAGTTACAGCATAAATGCATAGAGTTTCAAGATATGTCAGCAATATTAATACGATGAGTACTGTCTTGATGTTATAGGGATGCCAAAAGGGTAAATAAAAAAATAATCCAATGTGTCACGAAGAGAGGGCGACAGAAATGTAGTGATAAGAAGCAATGAAGAAAAAAGTGTAATAAGAAGCTGAGAAAAAAAGAAAGAGAAGAAAAAGTAAAAGAAAGGCTAAAGAAAAGAAAAAAAAAGGATACGATGCATTACATTTGTACGCTGTTTTTGTAATATCAACTCGCTTCTAAAAAAAGACATACAGCACATGTCCCAAATAAGAACAGCTTGGCGAACGCCTTGAAAATTTCCTTTTTTTACCAAAAAATTTCTATAGAAACATGAGGGTTTTTTATATTTTTGAATAGAAAAATGTATTCTGAATCGAATAATCAAAAAATCATCTAGAAAAACAAATGAGTTATTAGTGTAGTTTGAGAATAATTGAGTTTGTCCTTATTAGGAGGACTGTGTGTCATAAGAACACCGAACTAAAAAATATTCCTAATAAAAACAGACTATGCAAAATGTATAGAAAAGAATTATTTTTTAGTAAATGAATACTTTTACTATTTTAACTTGAAAATTTTATCGTGACTCTGTGACAAAAGCTGTTCCTTGTCAATCAAGGAATAATAATTTCAAGGTTGAAGATTTTTCGCCTTATATTAACAAAGATAAAAAAATTTAGAAAATAACTCATCTGTTCTTGTTAGGAACACTGTTCGTAATTCGAATACTCAACGAAAAAACGTTCGTAGTAAAAACATCCCATGTAAAATTAATAGAATAATAAATATTCTTAATAAATGAACTTTTTTTTTATATGACAAATTCAAATTTCTTTTATGATTCTGTGACAAAAAGTGTTTCTTGATCAATGTTCAATCAATTTCCAGAAGTCCAAAAAAAGCGATCTTTTCATCTCATATCTGTGATATTAATTAAAAATAAATGCGAAAACATCGGATTTAAATCCGAGTGTTATGTGTACTTCAAAAAGTGAAGAGGTATATTCACTTTGTTTTTTATCAACTGAGACATA